GTCCTGCCGAGCGTCCTCTCAGAACTTGCCTTGCTTTAGCTTGTCGATGTGGTACGTGAGCTTCAGGGCCGGCCCCAGCTTCAGCCCCATGTACTTCATCATCATGTCGCTCCGCAGCAGGAGCAGGGCCTTCCCGTCGATCTCCTGCAGGGAAGGGAGATGAGCACCCCTGAGCACCACCAGCTCTGCACCCCTCTGAGTCCTAACTCTGCCCAGAGCCAGCCCATGCCCCAAACCATGACAGCTGGAGCAGCAGTGCTGGGTGTGAAAGCACCAGGCTGCATCCCAGCCCTGCATCCCAGCCCTGCATCCCAGCCCTGCATCCCAGCCCTGCATCCCAGCCCTGCATCCCAGCCCTGCATCCCAGCCCTGCATCCCATCCCTGCCTCCCAGCCCTGCATCCCAGCCCTGCATCCCAGCCCTGCATCCCAGCCCTGCATCCCAGCCCTGCATCCCAGCCCTGCATCCCAGCCCTGCATCCCAGCCCTGCATCCCAGCCCTGCATCCCAGCCCTGCATCCCAGCCCTGCATCCCAGCCCTGCATCCCAGCCCTGCATCCCAGCCCTGCATCCCAGCCCTGCATCCCAGCCCTGCATCCCAGCCCTGCATCCCAGCCCTGCATCCCAGCCCTGCATCCCAGCCCTGCATCCCAGCCCTGCATCCCAGCCCTGCATCCCAGCCCTGCATCCCAGCCCTGCATCCCAGCCCTGCATCCCAGCCCTGCATCCCAGCCCTGCATCCCAGCCCTGCATCCCAGCCCTGCATCCCAGCCCTGCATCCCAGCCCTGCATCCCAGCCCTGCATCCCAGCCCTGCATCCCAGCCCTGCATCCCAGCCCTGCATCCCAGCCCTGCATCCCAGCCCTGCATCCCAGCCCTGCATCCCAGCCCTGCATCCCAGCCCTGCATCCCAGCCCTGCATCCCAGCCCTGCATCCCAGCCCTGCATCCCAGCCCTGCATCCCAGCCCTGCATCCCAGCCCTGCATCCCAGCCCTGCATCCCAGCCCTGCATCCCAGCCCTGCATCCCAGCCCTGCATCCCAGCCCTGCATCCCAGCCCTGCATCCCAGCCCTGCATCCCAGCCCTGCATCCCAGCCCTGCATCCCAGCCCTGCATCCCAGCCCTGCATCCCAGCCCTGCATCCCAGCCCTGCATCCCAGCCCTGCATCCCAGCCCTGCATCCCAGCCCTGCATCCCAGCCCTGCATCCCAGCCCTGCATCCCAGCCCTGCATCCCAGCCCTGCATCCCAGCCCTGCATCCCAGCCCTGCATCCCAGCCCTGCATCCCAGCCCTGCATCCCAGCCCTGCATCCCAGCCCTGCATCCCAGCCCTGCATCCCAGCCCTGCATCCCAGCCCTGCATCCCAGCCCTGCATCCCAGCCCTGCATCCCAGCCCTGCATCCCAGCCCTGCATCCCAGCCCTGCATCCCAGCCCTGCATCCCAGCCCTGCATCCCAGCCCTGCATCCCAGCCCTGCATCCCAGCCCTGCATCCCAGCCCTGCATCCCAGCCCTGCCCTGCCTGCACCACAGGGTTCAGCCTCTCGTGGCCATGAGAAACCTGCTGGGTCAGAACACCCAGGAACCACGTTCAAAACCTCGAGGAAGGTTGGGAGGAGGAAAAGAGGGGGTTTCTCTGACAAGGGAAGGCTCAAGGCAGCAGCAGTGCAGGGGAACAGTCTGTCACTCCAGGACATTGTCATCCCACTGCAGAGCAAATGTCCTGGGAGAGGACGTGCCAGCCTGGGCAGCAGAACTGTCACAGCACATGTAGCCCTGACATCAGGGCTGAAGGAGGCAAGGGACCAAACCCTGCAAACTCAAAGGGACTGACACTGTGTGCAAAGCAAATTTCTGGAGTTTCTAAGCAAAGTTCTGAAATCTGGCAGAGCTGGTGAAGCATCTTCCCCCCCCTCCAGCAAAGCTGATTTCAACAGCACAGCTTGCAAAAGTATCTGGTGCTTTACAGCTGAGCCAGATGTGCCCTCACTGAGGCTCAGGAGGGGAGCACGGAGCTCAAAATAACCAGAGAATGGCTCTGCACTTAGCATCTGCATGTGGAAATTTTCCAGTCCCTTGCAGCACTCCCTTCTTGACCTGGCCCTGGCTTGGCACAAAGCTTTGCCATGGACAGGTTTCCAAGAAGAAAACACTAATGGACTTAAAAATGAAAAACAAAACCCCAACCTCTAACAACAGCAAATCCTTTCCTATGTTGATGCTCAGTGAGGTGAGATCTCTGGTCATCTCCAGTACCAGTTTTGTTCTGCTTTCCCCTACTTAAGCTGAAAGCAAAGCTCTTCCTCAGGATGGTCAATACAGGGGACTTTTCATCCCTTGGCAGAGCTGAGCACTCTCTTGTATAATTAAATGAAAACATTTTTCAATTACTAGTAGTTCTAGAATAGAACTAATTAAAAAAAAAATAAAATTAAAACAAGAGTCTCAGCCCAGCACAGAGCAAGAACCATCCATCCCATCCACCTCTCCTGCCTGGGGAAGACAAGAATTTTCTCCTACTGCCCCTCTGACTTCAAAAGCCCCACCAGGTGTAAGATGGACTGAATCACAAGGCAGAGAGAAGACAAACTGTCTTGGCAGTGAAGCTGCCAAAATTTTTGTAGCTTTAATCCCACAAACTCTGTGCTGTTTGTCTGCAGCTACTTTACACTTAAAGACATACACAGGAACCAGAGGAATTAGGAGACCATTCTTTACAGGTAACAGCAGCAACATGCTCAAATTCCACTTGGAACATGTTTCGTGCCAGGAGAAATTTGGTATGAGGTGAACATTAAGACTCCAGGATTAAGAAGGTTTTGTGGTTTTGGTGCTAGGGTTCATATCCAGCCCAGAGCTGAGCTCACACACACAGAGGCAGTGGCACTGGGAGCTCCAGCTGGGCTGGGATGTCTGTCCCTCCAGGTCTGAGGAGAAGGATCCCAATCCTGGACATGATACAAGAAGGATTTACAAGGATGTTCCAGCTGGTACAAAGTGCTGCCATTTTCCTGACTCTCTGTTCACATTCATCTGTTTCATGCAATGACCTGCCCCCCCATATGCAGCATGTACCCACACCCACAGACACTCACATGCTTTCGGAAGAGATCAGCGTGGGGTCCCAGCTGTGGATCTGCCTCTCGGATGAACTGCATCACCTCCTCCACCGACCAGCAGGAGGGGTCGCGGCTGCTCAGCCGGGAGACGTCCCGGGAGCCCAGGTACCTGTCGGGGCCTGGGGAAGGGCCAGACAGCCCGTTACTCCGGGCATAGCTGCCCCATCACTCCAGCAGCTTATTCACCCTTCAGCTCCCACTCAGTCCCCTCCCAGAGCCGGCACACAGGCCATGTCCCAGCCGTGCCCCAGAGGCTCCTGCAGCACCGAGGCCTTATTCACTCTCCTTAGACCTTAATATTCACAGCAACCTTTTCAACTCAGCCCTTTTCCTCACTCTAAACCCAATTTCCCCTTGCACCCCTCCCAAGCTGAGTTTGCCCTCCCCATTCCCACCCTTCCTTACCCCTCCATTGCAGAAAACAATCCCGTTCCCACCCCTCTCCCCACACTGTTTCTCCCCTTGCTCCAAACACCACCTTTAGCAATTTTAACACAGCAAAGCAGTTTTGTGTTTTCATTGGCTGCATTTTCTGATGGGCTGAGCCCACCTGTGAAGCTCTGGTCTGCAGAAGCACCACCCGACCTCACCAAAGTCTTGCTCTCAGTGCTGGCACTGGCACAGCCCATTGTCCCAGCTCCCTACCTGCAGAGACTGGGGGGGAGGCAGACAGATCAAGGCATCAGCAGCCTGAACTTTTTAGAGGCTTTTATTGATGCCATGCACCTGAAATTACAACTTTTTTCCCACCACCTGTATCTGACGTGCTGATTTCCTGCAATGCTCTCCAGCTCCTCCTCCTTCAGAGCCAGGTGCTGCTCATGCACCCGCCCATCCTCCCAGCTCCCAGCCCCAGCATCAGCAGGCCCTTCTCAGCTCCCTGGCCATTCCTGGATCCATCCTCAAGGACTCAGATGCCCGTTTATTGCTTGGACAGCCCCCTGCCCATGCCTGCAATATCAGCTCCTGCCTGCCCCCTCCTCCAGTGGCCTCCAGGTCCCTCCTTAGTCACCACACAGCACGGGGTACCCTGAGACCATCACCCCTGCACTCCCACCCACCTGCTGTGTCTCCAGAGCCTCACAGGCTACCTGTGTAACAGTGTAGGAGCCAGTCTCCAGTACTTGCTGAAGTTAGAAAGGTGTAACTGGAGTTAGAAAAGCCCTTTATTGCCACATTTACCACCAGAGGGCCGGCTTCTCAACTCTTACCCCCAGAGCTAAGCCTGCGCAAGGCAGAGGTGCTGCCCTGGCTGAGGCTCGAGGGCTGGTGCAGGTGCCTGTATCCTTGCAGGCGATAGTCTCTGGAGCTCCTGCTGTGGCTGGATGAATTGACAGAGTTCAAGGCAGAGTCCATGGGGTCCAGGCGAGGCTCCAAGGGCCCTGGGAGGCCATCTCCCAGAACAAAGGTTTCACCTGGAATGCACCAAGCTGCAGTCAGTGCACCCGAACGGTGCAGCCCCGGGTTCCCGCTCGGCGGCACAAAGTGCAGACACAGGGCAGGGAGGGGGGAGCCACGGGGGGCTCCTCAGAGCAGAGACACTGAACCAGGCACTGCTAAACCCTGCAGCCTGGTGTCTGCCTGGCAAATGCCACTCTAGCCAGTTAGCAGTGATCATGGTTGGTGCTCAGATTGGAGGAACAGTCCCTCTGTTAATGCCACCACCAGCTCTGGCCTGCAGTCCTGTGTCCGTCCTGCTTCCCAGGCCCTTCTGGGTGCCAAGGGACACAGGACTCCCACAACAGCCCTGAGCAGGTAGAGGAGGCTCCCAGAGATGCGGGGTCAAGTGCCACACATCACCAGCAGCAGTGTTGAGGGCACAGGAGCACGCAGGGGGGACTGGGCTGTTCAGCCAGATGCTGCAGCCCAGCCCTGGTGCTGGGGGGCACTGGGCTCCTCTGGGCAGCTCAGTTGCACTGTCAGAGGCAGGCTAATCCCCTGGCCCAGATGGTAACCTGGTGCTGGTAACCAGATGCTAATCCCTCCTGACCTCCTGCTGGGCCATTTTTCACTGCCCAACCAAGTGGGCCACCAACACCCTTTGCTGGGAGGTCCAGCAGGGACAAGGCAGAGGGGTCTCCCCAGGCAGGGGGACAGTGTGAGACTGGATTTCTCACCTGCTCCTCCAGAAACACATTTTCAGCTGACAAGGGCAGTATCAGGTTGGAGGGGCTAATGAACTATCCAGGGTGATATATTGTATTGGCTGGGCCATCATGATCACCCTTTGCTGTTATACTGTGACAGCTTCATCCTAACACCACTTGGTAGATTTTACTATGGCTTACCCAACCCAGCCTTGATCCTGGTGAACCTGATGTGAGTCATCCTCAAATTCCTGCATTCTTTGTTATGAAATGCCTGGCAAATTTGTACAGCCAAAGAGGAAGACAAATCCTGCAATGAGCATTGCCTGTCCACTCCAGGCTGGGCCAACACACCTGGCTGGGAGCTGGAGCTCCTCTACCAGCATCCCTGGGAGCAGCTCACAGTCCTGAGCTACTGCCACTCAAACAGCACAGTAGGTGACAAGGATGAGGAAGCTTGAGCAACTGCCCCAGCCAAACCCTGAACTTTTTTCCTGGGACCTCCCAGACCACAGGAGTAGCAGGTGAGAATAGTGAATATTCAGGTGTGCTGTGAGGGCACAGAGTCAATACTACAGTCCATGAGACGCAAAAGCTCTTGAGATCTTCCCAAACTTTCCTGCTAAGCTGATGCTGCCAAGCTCCAGTGAAGGAGATGCAGCTCCCCAGAGCCTGGAGCGTTGCAGAGGTTGAGCCCCACCAAATGGGGTAACCTCTCCTAGAGGCACATTGTTTTTTCTGGTTTCTATGAACTACAGAACCATTCTGTGAACTGGGATGCTGGTTTCAGCACTTCTGCTGTGTTTGAGCAGTGAACCCAGAGGCAAGTTGAGCTGGAGGCAGCCAGCTCACACCCTCCCTGGCTTCATCTCCCAAGGCTACACAGTGGACACACCCCTCTTGTCCAGCTGTTTGGCATTCAGTGAAGCAGATGTGATACTATCACCTGCATAACCTTATGAAATTCAACACAGGCAAGTGCAGGGTACTGCACCTAGGGAGAAATAACCCCATGGATCAGTACAGGTTGGGGGCAGAGCTGCTGGAAAGTAACTCTGTGGAAAAAGACCTGGGAGTCCTGGCAGACAACAGGCTGACCATGAACCAGCAACGTGTCCTTGTGGCCAAGAAGGCCAATGGCCTCCTGGAGGGCATCAAGGTTAAGTGTGGCCAGAAGGCAGAGGGAGGTTCTCCTGCCCCTCTACTCTGCCCTGGTGAAGCCACATCCAGAGAACTGTGTTCAGTCCTGGGCTCCCCAGTTCAAGAAGGAGAGGGAACCGCTGGAGAGGGGACAGCAAAGGGCTACAGGATCATTAGGGGACTAGAACGTCTCTCTTGTGAGGAAAGGCTGATGGACTTGGGCTTTTTTAGTCTGGAGAAGAGCAAAGGGGATCTTATCAATGCTTATCAATGCTTATCAAAGGGTGGGTGTCAGGAGGATGGGGTCAGTCTTTTTTCAGTGGTGCCTGGTGACAGGAAAAGAGGTCATGGGCACAAACTAGAACATAGGAAGTTCCATCTAAACATGAGGAGGAACTTCTTTACTTGAAGGGTGGCAGAGCACTGGAGCAGGTTGTCCAGAAAGGTTGTGGAGTCTTCATCCCTGAAGACATTCAAAACCCACCTGGACATCATCTGATGAACCTGCTCTGGCAGAGGGGTTGGACCAGATATCTCCAGAGGTCCCCAGCATCCTCTGATTCTGTGACTCTGTGAAAACTGCAACCCTTCATCTCGTGGGCTTTGTCACTTTGCACTTGAGGCATTTCTGCCTTTCTTTGTTTTAAGACCTCTGGGACACTGTCAGAAACCAGCAGCACATCCTTCAAATCTCATGCAGAAGCAGTGCTGATGGGAGGACTGTTACTCCCTCAGTGCCCTGTGCTGTGTGCTGGCCCACATCTCACTGGCCTCCTGTGTGCTGGCTTCTGACCCAAGACTATTCCTGAGCAACTCTGGACACTTCCTTCACTCCTGCACCACTTTCCCACCATCCCATGTCACCACTAGGCTGGATGCCAACCCAGCACTGAGCTGGCTGCTCTGGCCCAGGCCCAGCCTGACCCACACAGTGATTGGGTCGGACACCAGTGGCTCCACAGGAGCTGCTTCTGAGCAACTACATTTGGCTTCCTCTCCAAGAGAACAGTTCTGCTTAAAACCCAAACCACTTCCCATAAAACATCTGTGAAAAAGAGTGACATCTGATTCAGGGAATGGTGCAGAAGCAGGAGAGGGGTCAGTGGCCTCTGCATTGGTCTGGATGTTTTGCAGCAGGAAGGTGACAGTGGGCATGGGAACAGGTCTGTGCTGCACCTCTCCATCCTCCAAGGAAGCCCAGCACCTTCTGCGAGGTGGCACAGCCTCAACTGCCAGGACATCCCAATGTGCTGAGTCAGGCAAACACGTGTGTCTAACTGCTCCTGGGGACCCCCACGCTCACATGGAGGGGATCTGTGCCAGCAGGGGGAATTTCTGGGCTTAGCGAGCAACAACTACAGCTTGGGAGGCTGCAAGACCATGTGCACAGGTTCCCATTGATGCAATGCTAAGGATCCAAAACTCACCCTGAGAAAATATTTAACTCAACAATTAACACACTGTCATTATTCTGAAGTGAATGCACTGTGATGCATTCTTCAAATATGCAATCATGTTCTGAAACAGACTTATGATCACAGGCCTGAAGAGGATGAGGCCAGCAACTGGGGAGCACTACTTTGTTCTGCTCAAGAGGTGGAACTGAAACTGCACGTTCACTCTCAGGTTACCCACCTCCAGACTGGTGAGTGCTTAGTCATGCTGTAAATATTGCAGCAGAGCTGGAGGCTTCTAGATAGGGTCAATGCAAGAGAGAGTCAGGAAATTCTTAAAAACATACGGAAAACTGCTCAGATGAATGATACCTCCAGAAAGGGGAGATGGAAACGAGGCAAGAGTGGAACACACACCAGCCCTGTGAATCATCTGCAGCAGAAGACAACATGCTTCTGCAAGCAGCAGGGCACAGGCTGTGTTCAGACATCCACAATATCCAGGATCCTTCTACCCTTGATGACCAGCTTGGGAGCTAGGAGGAGCTGGTTAACTCTTAGGCAGATTTTCTTTCACAAACAGCTGGTTTTAAATACAGGCTTGCATTTGGAGCATGGTAGGGAACACACCACAGTTACTGGTGGAGGGGCAGGGAGAAGCTAATTAAAGTTTAATTAAACAAATAGTGCTACAGATTCAAAACTGGTGTTTTACTTCTAAATCATGGCATTTGGCCACGAGCATAAATCCGATTTGCACAACTACTAAACACCCACTGTTTCCAACAAATGAGGGTCTTTGAAAAGCAGGTCCCTACTGTGCTGAAACTGCAGCTCTTCAGCAAGAAGCTCCATAAATGCCACTGGATGCAAGAGGAAAAACAATGTGAGATGTGAGATCCCCCCTTGTCTTTCTGACTTCTTGCCAAAGGCAGGATGAATGAAGACCTCCCACTGCTACTCACTGCCCTCAATGTGCCAGACTGGAAGCTGCTCAGGTACTGATGATGTCCTTCACATGCTGCAGCCAGAACAGGCTCTGCTGGGGGAGCTCATCCCCACAAGAAGAGTTACCTCCTATCTGAGTATTTCAGGCTCATATTCTTAAAATACACCCTCTGAAATGCAAATATTCCTGCTTGTACTTAAATTTCATGGTGGAAGAAGACGAACAGGCTTTTAGGGATGGGATAAAAATGCACTTCCAGATGGAATCTGGACCTGCATCTCATTTCTGCCTGCCCTGTACACCCCCTGTTTAGACCAAAACCAGAATAAGACCAAGCTGCTGAAGAAAGTTCACACACCAAGAGGATCACCATCCTCCTGTGAAGGCACTTTCTGCCCACTTGTCTTTACTTCTACAGAAGACACTGGAGTACTCTGGGCATCCAGATGGACTGTCTGATTTAAAGGCCATAACAGAACAGACTTTGAAGTAGACTAAGAATCAGTCTTGTAGACACCATAGATTCCTCCTTGGAATTATCCATTACAGAAGCCTTGTATCTTCACTGACAATATAGAGGGTGTACAACACTCACCACCTAACCAAGGCATCTTCATCTTTACAGCACCCAACCATGCTTCAGGAACAGCCCACAGAGGAGGAGCTGACAGCTGTGCTAATGGTTACCTAAGGTTGATGTACTAGAGGAGAATGTCAAGGAGATGAGCAAGGATGCACCTAGAGGTGAGAAACAGACTGGGCCTGAAGGAACAATTTTTGACTTCTCAATATGCTGGAATAGATGTGATGTTCCTACACAACACCTCATTCTTTGCTTCAGCTACATGACAAACCTACAGTTTTCATCATTGCTGATAATAAGGGCACTAGAAACTGCCCTTCATAGGGTGCTAGTTCAGGTCAGCTGTGCTTAGATCCAGGGTCAGGAATCCTGAAGAGCAGAGGGCACAGCAATGGATGGAGACTAGAATTATACCACATGGGAAGATGTACACTCAAATCTGGGATCAACAATCCAAGCCCAGAAAACTCAGTAAGAGCCAGGGAAATGTGATTCTAAAGGGACAACAAGAGAGCACAAAGCCACTGAACTATAAGCCCAACCAAGAGCTTCCAGCAATTTTTCAGGGACTTATTACAAGGAACTGTGACTAATACCTTGGCAGATTTCACCATCAATTAATTAAAAGGCTTCAGCCTGCGATGTGGCAGCTTTGCAGTTCAAAACAGAAGGGAAGGTGTATTTATTGAAGGCTCAGGTATTCCTCCAGCTACCTGGACCCCCTGGCAGCCTCCCACCTGCAGGGGACAACTCTGGACCACATACCCAAGAGGATGTTTCTGCAATTGCTTCTGAGAACATGGCACAGCACACAAGCCCCAGGGTGACACTGCAGGCAGCAGGGATGTGATGTGATCTGGTTCAGTTGGTGGAGCACACACCAGTGAGACCCTCCCTGCTGTTTAGGGAGGACTGTGAGAAACAAGATGGGACCCTGGGAAAGGGCAGCAAGTTCCAGACAATACAGGTGCACATCAGCATCTGCACCATACACTGTAGCAAAACATCATGGAAAAGTTCAGGGGAAGATTGACTGAAGCAACTGGGCAGTTTTATGACCGTTATTACCGCACGCAGCAATGGAAGCTAAAATACAGGCAATTCAATTGCAGATTATATGGATTAGATGATGACTATCAGGGTTAGAAGGAATTCTCCCTGCATTCCACATGCCTTACACAACTGCTTGGGGAACCTGCCTTGGCACAGACTGGTTTCCTCATTTCTGTCTTAAACGTCAAGCACGGACCCATGTCAGAGACAAAGCAAAGCAGGATTCCTACACCAGTGGCTCAGCCTGGCACAGCAAATCTAGTCCTGCTGCATCGTTACAAGTTGCTACAAACAGGCAGCTTTGGGAAGAGACACTGTGCTCACCTTCCAATGGGTGACGGTCATTCTTTGGTAACTTGGGGGAGAGAGGAGCACTGTATGGAGGGGAATCTTGGGAATACCGCTTTGTACCCCGGCCTGGTCCCTGCAGAGTCCCGTCTAACGAACTGCTTCTGTCTAGGAAAAGAGAACAAGCCCTATTTAGGAGTAGAGACTTGCTGGAAAGTTCAGTCTTGCCAGAGTTAGGTGAGACTTGCATGCATCGCCAGCCTGGGTAAAACTGCAACCCAGCACATCAGCATTTGGGATTTTGCTTTGCAAGCTTTGTCAGAGAAAAAAGGTGGGGAGAAACCTGATGGATCTTAGGATCAATATGTTTTGACATATTTCCCCCTTTGATTGACTCAATACCATTTCTTCCTATTCTATCCCCTGGCTCACGCTGCACGATTCCTGCTCCTCCCCACTCCTCACCTTTCAGGGGCACGTAACCCTTGGCCAACTTGCAAACAACCCTTGGACGACTTGCAAACACGATGTGCCATGAAAAGTGCTTGACTAAACTGTACTCAAATTTTCAATCTTTTCCCAAATGGCTCCCTCCAGTGTCCCCCAGCTGTCGCTGCTGCTCTTCTCCAAATGCTTCCCAACCATGGGGATCCCCATCTCGCACGTGGCAGAGCAGACACCAGGCTGGGCTGCCAGATGTGCCTTTGCCACGGGCTGAAGGCTGCACCTGAGGTGTCAGTGGGTGGATGAATACAGAGGATGGAAACGCAGACATGGATGGAGCAGCAGCCAGGCTGGTGATAGAGCAAGAGGCAGCCTGAGCCCTGTCTGGGCAAGACAAGGTCAGCTGAGGAGCAATGAGGAGGCTCACAGCCTCCCACAGCCGCGGCTCCTTGCTGGCCCCCTGCCGAGTGCCCTAGCCCGG